CTTGTACTGTTTTTTGTTAATTTTAAAATTTGTTAAATTGTTTTTGATATTTTATAAGCTATGTTAAGTTTGGTAACAAACAAAACTTAAAGTGTTTTATACAAACTTTCATTCGACATTTACCTTACGTTTCAAAAACATTTTCCTTTACAACAAAGAGCAAAAAGTTATTCGCTCAAAACTAAAACTGCACTGATTATTTGATAATCCAGCACAACGTTTCAGCACATATAATTTACTTTTTATACTTTTATATTTATATATTATTGTAATTTTATAGACTTTTCAAAGTAGGTAATTTGTTGTTTTCAGTTGAGACTCCTACTTATTTATAAATACACTTTTCATAGTCCTAATACTAAATTCTGTTGTTTAACTGTTGTTTATTATTTTTAGCATTTCCATTAACAATTTGTTGGTTTACAAAACTAACTAGGCCTAAGGTTAATTTATGTACTTAAGAGAAATGTTCACCATTATTGGTTTTTACAGACAAATCCACTAGGTACAGACGATTTCACGTTGAAGGTATTGTTTCAGCATTATTTTATACATTTTGTATTTTTGCTTGAAAGACTATTCCTGTACGCGTGACATGAAAGCGTGTATGTTTGTATGTATGTACGGTGTATGTACGTACAAGTGTGTACAGTTGGTCATGTACTGGTTATATAGTGTAACGGTGTTTTTTCACACACAATAACATACTGTATAAAACGTTTATTTCTTTGTATATCTACGGGAGACCAACGCCTTATAATTGAAATATATATCCATTGTACCTAACTCATTTGTCGTTTACTTCTTCTTATGATCCTTTGTTTCCTTCTTTCTATCGTTGATCCTGTTTAATAAAATTTTGGTGTATTTGAAATTTAGGATCAAGGGGAAACAGTTTAACTCATGCAATGAAGTTGGCATTAAGTGGTGAGTGGCAAAGCTTGAAGAAATAGTTCTTCAAGGAACATGGCCATAAGAGGCAGAACTTTGTTATTTCTTAATTTAATCCCGAAATTAGAACAAAATGTTTCGAACATGTAAACATGAATGCTTAAAATTTATTTTGTGAAAAAGTTTAGCTATTTTACTCTTCTACACTGTTTCTTTTTTAATTAAGTATGGGGAAATAGTTGGGAAATATTACTAAAGTTAAAATAATATAATTTATTTTCTAAGACAATATTTCAAATAGTGATTAGAATATAAAAACAAAAACATAAGTCATAAGTCATAAGTATTTTATTGCATAAAACATTCTTCATTACAAAGGCAATGGTGAACAGATGCATGGTAAATCAATAAGTTATAAACACTAAAAGTAATAAGTTACAACAAAATACAACAAGAACAGCACAATTGAGAGAAAGTTACCAATTCAAACAAGTTAGAAAAAAGACAAATTTAAAAACTAAAAGTAATAAGTTACAACAAAATACAACAAGAACAGCACAATTGAGAGAAAGTTACCAATTCAAACAAGTTAGAAAAAAGACAAATTTAAATAAAGATCTTGAAGCAATATCAGAGAAAAAAACAATTAAAAACATTCTGTGTCATATTTTACATAAACTAATGGTCAATTAATGTCACGGTCATTTAGGAAATCTGCCAGGAAGTAATATGATTTCTCCACCAATAATGATTTAGTCCAAATTTTAAATTTTTGTGGTGTATAGGATTTTATTTTTGAGGGGATCTTATTATATAGACAAATCCCCATATAGATGGGTTTTTTTTTCAAAATGAGAGTGATTATGAATTGGATAATTTAGCAGATTTGGGTTTCGGGTATTATAACTATGAGTGAGTCTAAATTCATCAAAAAGTGTATTATTTAAATGAACAAAATTTACTGTTTCATAGATGTACAAAGAAGTCAATGGCATTATTTTTAATTCCTTAAAAGAACGACGACAACTTGATCCATATTCTGCCCCTATCATCACTCTAATAATACTATTTGGACTTAAAAAACTTTGCTAATATCCCCCGAGTTTCCCCACAGAACAATTCCATAACGAAGCAGAGAGTGTATATAAGCATAATAAATAATTTTTAATGTTGCTAGTAAATTTTGAATACATTTAATTGCAAACCAAATTTTTGAGAATTAATTTACTTTTAATTTAATTTACTTTTTAATTATATTATCAATTAGAAGTCAACTTACTAACCAAATATTGAATGTGTGATTTCTAATTGAAACTTTGATCTATATTAATCCCAATACTACAACTATACCAATACTACTACTAGTATTACAAATACAAATATGTATAGTAAAAAGTTCCCCACAAAGACTTTTCATATTTTTTGTGCGGGGACAAACTGTTGTTGCACACTTATGGACTATTAAGTTATACAGGGTGGCTGGTCATCAGTGTGACAAAATTTTTTTGGCGTAAGTACAAAGTAAATGCAGTGTTATGATGCATATAAAAGGTTCCAAGTCCAAAAATTAGCTTCCCAAAGAATTATATAATGTTTTTCAAAAATAACTATGTTTTCAAACTTAATACAGCTATTTCTCAATTACCGGTAAATGGATTTGAGTAGACAATGTCATTTTCGTGTTCTACATTAAATTTTGAATAAGAATAATAGAAAATGACGGAGGATCAGTTGTAAAAATCCCATTGTAAATAGATTCAAAGATAAAAATTAAGATGTTTGATACAAATTTAAAAAACATTGGTCTATTGTATTTGTTCACACCCTGTATACAAGAAAGTGGCCGATTATGTTAAAAACTGTGCCATTTTATAAGCTTTCTAACCATATGCTACACTATTGAGGTTTAGATATTCTGTTGTTTGTTTTAGTGGGTTGAATACCAGAAAACAGGGAACTTTTTTACTGTTTTTACTGTTCAAGCTCAAACAAAAATACAACTTTTGCTTAATACACGCCGGCTTTCTATGTTTTAAATGTTAAAGAATACCAGTTTTCTGGTATTCAAACCACTAAAACAAACAACTTAATATCTAAACCTCAATAGTGTAGCATATGGTTAGAAAGCTTATAAAATGGCGCAGTTTTTAACATAATCGGCCACTTTCTTGTATACAGGGTATGAACAAATACAATAGACCAATGTTTTTTTAAATTTTTATGAAACATCTTAATTTTTATCTTTGAATCTATTTACAATGGGGTTTTTACAACTGATCCTCCGTCATTTTCTATTATTCTTATTCAAAATTTAATGTAGAACACGAAAATGACATTGTCTACTCAAATCCATTTACCGGTAATTGAGAAATAGCTGTATTAAGTTTGAAAACATAGTTATTTTTGAAAAACATAAAAATAATTCTTTGGGAAGCTAATTTTTGGACTTGGAACCTTTTATATGCATCATTTCACTGCATTTACTTTGTACTTACGCCAAAAAAATTTTGTAACACTGATGACCAGCCACCCTGTATAACTTAAGGACTATTAAGTTATTTAACTTAAGGAGTATTAAGTTACAGTAGATTCCCACAATATCGGCGTAGTGTGGACTGGAAGGGTGCCAAGTTTGTGAAATGCCGGTTTATCGGGAACTAGGGTTAAAAATAAGAATAATACAATTTATAAGCTTATTAACCGCCTTTTTTATTGATATTTATATTACAAGTCAGTATTAAGTCATCAGATATAGCACAAAAAATCCTTGGTACGAGTTAAAAATGATTTGACTTGAGTCCATGTTAAACTAGGACTCAAAAAACCACTAATTTTCTGAGCAATGTGATGGTCGAGTTATCCAGACTACTGAGTTATCGAGTGACGAGTTTCCGGGACTCTACTGTAGGTTATACATAAAATGTGGCTTGAAAGAAAAATATAATTATAATATGTAGGACTACTACAAAAAAAAACTAACTAAATAAGTGTACCATCTTTTTCATCTATTTATATTATTAATTCTGTAAGCAAATTTTTAAATTAAAAATGTTGATTTTGACAGCTTGCAGGATGATAAAAAAATATCTTCCATTTTATGTGGAGGTGCTATAGCTGCATGAAAATAGTATGCATGAAAATAGTCAGAGTTTTTGACTTTAGATTTTGGTAATGGGAGCCTAGGTGAGTGTAAAATCCTATGTTGTCCCCCCAGGGGTGGTCGACAACTTAGAGGTGGGGGCGCAAAGTTGTGAAAAACATTAATCGGCAAACATCTTATAACTCCCTTGTAATTGAATGCAAGTAAATGATTTTTTAAATTGACTTTTGATTTTGGTAAAAAGGGCCTAGGCAGGGATATATTTCCGAATAGGCGGACTAGGCGGGTGCCTAGGGCGGCAAATTTTAGGGGCGGTAAAATTTTAGGGGTTAAAAATTGGAAGTTTATAGGTTACAAATATTATTAATTATCGGTTTATAACTCCCTTGTAATTAAACGTAAGTAAATGATTTTGGTAGTAAGGGCCTAGGTGAGTGTAAAAACCCATGTAAGGGCCTCACAGGGGTGGTCGACAACTTAGGGGTGTGGCGAAAAGTTGCGTTAAACGTTATTATGAAAAGCCTTCAACAAAGTAATGTAGTTCAAAAGGAGGCAAGGAGCAAGACAGTAAGTGCCCCCTAAATTACCCCTCGTATCTGACCATGGTGGGAAGGGTCAAAAGGTCAGATTAATGGAATGAGCAAAAATATTTTTGTACAAGAAAGTTTATTTCAATAAACAAACTGCTTAAGCTAGTCACTCCTCTACTTCTGATAAGTGTAAATCTTGGTGAACTGACTCGTAAACAAAGGACTATTTGCTGGTGAGTAACCTTTCAAGTATAAACGTTCTTGGAGTTATCGCTCCAAACAGGAAAAAAGTAGGTGGTTAGATATCCAGAGGAATCATGCTCAGGTCGGATATGGGGGGTTCTTTACTGAAGTTCACTTGAGCCACTAACAGTCTGTTGTTGTAAATGACTGATTTCTGACTTTCAAGCCAACTTTTCAACCAAGACAAACTGATTGAACTGCTTATTGTAAGCTACTATTACATAATCTTTTGTCACATCATCTTTAAAAATGTAAACAATTATTATAAGGGAGAAAACATAATTCTGATATAACTCAATTGATGTTTTTTTTATAAAAGGAGGCTACAGCTGCTCCATATAGATGGTATGTCTATTTCAGGATCCAAAATGTCAATGACACGGCATAAGGAATTACCATAAGCAGGTTACTAAGCAGGAAGCTACAACCAATCATAATATTTACTCTTTAAATACAATCTGCGGCTTAAGCGGCACCACTTTCGGTGGTGGAGGTACGATATCAGTGATCTTCTCCCAGACTCCCGTGCTCCTAAGATGCTTATCTGTCTTGAGCAGAGGTGTAAAATGGATTCGCGCTAGAATATGCTTCTGTCTGACAGCTTCGGTGAATACTTTGTCGTAGAACTTTCCAACATTCTCAATGTTGATGTGGCATTCCGCTTCTTCTTCCGTCAGAAGGATAGTGTTCCAAGGAGACCATTCGACCTCGCGTTGCCATCTTACGTGGGTCAGCTTGGCTAAGTCTCGGTCTTCGCTGATGGCTGAGTGCCCGTGCCAAATAACGCTGGTCAGGAAAAACATCCCGATTTGTTGAAACACGAAGCAGACGGAAGAGTAGCAGTTCTTCTGCATCTCTGAGGTTTGTACCTGAAAACGTGTTCGATTGTGAATTATGTTGAAAGAGAGGTTTGAACAGTGGTGTAATCATAGATTTCCCAGAGCGGGAACACTCTGTCTTGTAAGATCTGCCCAACATAAAGGATTAATTATAGAATTTTTCAGAGTAGAGTAAAGGGGAGTAAAATAGAGCTCCGTGTTCCCACTCGACTACACCATAACTGAAATTATTGGTTACAGGAGACTGAGGATGTTAGAGTCTTATCCTTTAAATCCCAGTGTTTACACGAGGCCGGTATAGTAGACAGGTTGCAGGACAGGTTACTTGCCAAATGTATTTCAGATTACCTGAAGCAAGTACCCTGCCTACCAACAGGCCTTATGTATGCGCGGCTTATTGCTGTACTAGCTGTACCCGCGGGCTTTGCCCCGTTTAATTTCTTAATTTTCAAATGAGCTCGTTCGCATGGCTCAATCACGTCCTGGTTGAAGTTTGTTCGCTACGCTCACTCACCTTTTGGTTGCAAATTAGCTGTTGTCATAAATTTAAAAAAATAATGGTGCTGCACCCTGTTGGTAATCCTTGTAACTTTAATGCTATTGAACATCATAGAACAGAACCAACTTGTTTAATTGAAACAGCTGTTAAGATTCATTAATTCCTTTTAAATATGAAAAATCATAAGGTTAACATGGGAAACTCCAGAGCCACTGGGGCGGAGCCCGAAAGCCCGATCAGAATAAAAACTACTTAGTTTTCCTATTTAATGCCCAAAGAATCGGTGTACCGAATTTCAGCCTCCTAGGTAAATGGGAAGTGGGAGAATTAGTGATGAGTGAGTGTGTCAGTGAGTCAGTGAGGGCTTTGCCTTTTATAAGTATATAGAAGATGCCTCTGGGTATTCAAAGTTACCATTGAAGTTTGTAAATGTTATTTTATCGATTGGTTCCTATGGGAAATTTTTCTGTCAATGTTTAGTTAACTTTATTTTTGTTTACGATTATAAATATTCATTCATCTGTTTCCTTAGCAACAAAAAAAGCACAAATTTTTATCTTGTTTTATGTCACTGATTCCCTATTATTTTTCATTTTTCATTGCCATACAGATAATGAAAATGAATCACAATTTTGACCTACTAAGCAATACATTTAATTTATCTATTGTTTTTCCATTCACAGCAAAATGTTATGTTGTACAATCAATGGGAGGGATATTAGCTATATTTTACACAGTAGGTTCAAAATCATTTTTGGACTCTGGGTCCAATTATGATAGCAAAGCTACTAATTGTGCATGCATAAATTTGTAAGTTGAATTAATGTGAATTTAAATATACTGTCATTATAACAAAAGTTACTATAACCCATTGTCCAATGAAAAATGGAAAAGCTAGAGAAACGTTTCATAGTTTAAAGAGTACAATGATATTTAAATCTCTTTGAGAAACTAAAATATGACCTACCTGTTTGAGTAGCCTCATGTAGGGTGTCATGTCTATCCGCTGGTGTCCCACATTCTGCAACCAATCACAAGACTTGCATACAGTGTAGGCTTTCATCCTGGTATGAACAGGATATCTAGATGCAGGTAGTAGTTTCATACATCTTGTACATTTATAGAGCGCATCATGTTTCTTGGTCCAGTTGGGTTTCCTATAACTCGCAACTTTTGGATTGAACTGGGGATGATGGAGGAAATCCATATAGAGCTGTTCGATTCTCTTTCTCAGCATGGATAAGTCAGCGTCTTTTGTACCTATTGCTAGTAAATTTATCTCTCGGTCGATTAACTTAATAATATCTTTTGTGTACTCGTAAGCAGAGTAATTTGACATGAGTTGCTTCAGAGTAATGAGGAAGTCAATTCTATCCTTGGGTGTGACATCTGTTCGCACCAAATCTGTGTAGACTTCCTTGAACTCTCTCGCTCTCTGGGTCGCAGGGTCATCTATGGTGGTCAGTTGCCCGTTAGCGTTCCTGAAGGTCAAAGGACGAGAAGACATCTCGAGAAATCTCAATTGTTGTCTTTTCAGTGCCTCTCGTTTGACTTCAATTCGATGTTTTTCAATTGCAGATAACAACTTGATTTCTTTTTCTAAAAGCGCAACAAACTCAGCTTTTTTCGGCGCTTCCGTTTTCATATCGCAAATCCTCTGCCATTCTTTTTGCCACCATTTGCCCACCATCAGGTACATCATGTAAAAGTCGTCTCTTTTCGATGGAAACGGGTCTGTTAGAATCTTCTCTTCTTTTTCCGCCTGCTCTTTCAACATTTCAATGCGTTGGCGTTTCACATCTTCCAAGAGGTATCGCTGCAATGCAAATAGTTTATTTACTCGACAACGATGTAGCCAGTGTCGTACAGCTCTTTGAATCTTCATAACCTTTTCTTCAACATTGTTAACCACAAGCCATTCCGCGTAAGACTGATAAGGTTTGGCTGATATAACTTTATCCGCTATTTTAGGAATGATCCGATCGCTCTTGTACACTTGTGTGCTTTTTTCAGATGAAGTGTTTATTTTTGACTCTTTAAGGGGAAAAGGCGTCTGAGTGTCTCGATGGAACAAAAGTGGAACGCCAACTCCTGGCTCAGGGTAATCAAACACTTTGCGTTCTCTGGGAGCGGTCTGTGAGAATGCATGATGGTACTCTAGTTTGGTCAGTTTGTTCCTGTACCCACCCAGCCATTCCTTCTGTACACATTGATTCTCAATCTCCACAATGAGATCCTTGAAGGTACCATCCTGCCAGATGTGTACAGTAATCACGTCCACCGTGGGGATATACTCGCTTACACTAGCCGCAGTTATGCATTTCCCCGGTTGAGTCGATGTAAGTTTCAACTCGAGAGAACCAAACGGCTCGACACCTAAACCTTGCAAAGGTAACCAGTCATCCACGTCGAACCCATCTTTTTCCAACTTAATCGAGTCAAAGTTCAGATTCAGCACATCTGATAAACGCTCTTTTACCTCTTGTATGTTTGAGGTAATTTTAAAAGCACAAGCGAACGTTTCTGAATTTTCCAAAATAAATTTCACTGTGACTACTTCTTGATTGGGGGTGTTTTGTGCGCCTGTGTTAACCGCTCTAGACTGACCAAGCACTCCAAATTCTTCTTTGTCACATAGTGATGGAGAAGAACTCATGTCTTTTCCAGGAGATTCTTTGGAAGTTGTACTTTTTGGACCATCATCGTCAATGTTCTTTTCATTATCCGTTGTAAGATCAGTGCTTTCTTGTTGTATTTTGCCTTTCCTAGGTGATTTATCTTGTATTGATTTATCCTCTTCAATAACTTCATTAGTTTTAAGTATTTCCTCTGTCTTATCCTTGTCTCTCAGTGTGGACTGTTGATCTTCATTTGTTGTAGACTCTTGTTTATCTTCTTCTGCAACTACTCTGTTTGTTGTCTCTATATTTGGATCTTCTTTTTCGTGAGTTGATGACATTGTGGAATTTTATTATAGCTGAAAAATCCAAGATAAATACAATACAAAGTGTGGACTATTTTATTTAAGTGTACTGTAGATGAAAAATGTATGGTTTAATCACTAACTAAAGTCTGGGCTTTAGCAATAGTTTCATCTCATATTTTTTTCTTGTCTTACTTACTGGAAACAATGACTTTGGTTACTGAATTAGATACCTAAACTGTTTTTTGTTGAATGTTACAGTATTTTAATTTCTTCCCTGGTTATAATACAAACAGTAGTTTAAAAATGATCTTCTTTTTGTTTTAAATAATGTTAAGCTAGTTTTTAAGTAAAGAGAAGAGAAGACTTAGACACACTCGAGCATGACTTAGACATATATTAGAACTGTCTTCAAATTATCTTCAAGGATGATAAATGTTAAACACGTTCACTGCGGTCGTAACCGATCGGATACGGGCCGAGCGCTGTTCAGGTGCTGCCGTAACCAATCGGATACGCTCGGCAATGCCTTTTGTATATCATCGTTTTTGCTCTAGCGTCGGTCGAAGGCGGGCCTATACCACGTTAGCGTGTAGTGGGTGACTTACTTTTTGTTGTATTGTAGGTTGGTAGTAAAATTTCCCCATAAAATCCCCGTCTGGCAAACTTAAAAATCAACTTGTTGTCCCGTTTTTCTCCCTCCAATTGGCAATACAATGGGACCGGCTACGTTCCAAGCAGTGCTGCTATCTGTGAGTGTTTAACAAACTACGTCGACTCTACGGACGTTATTTGCTATTCGTCATACCGAAATATGAGCCTGCTGTTTGATGGCCCGCAGCGAACGTGTTAATGGAGTAAGTTTAAGCTATGAATTTTGACATTCATTAATGTTAAGCAAAATCAATTAATAGGTACATACCTACCCTAATGGAAATTGCACTCCAATATTGAACAATCAATTTAACTAGCTTTCCTTATACAAATTTATTACACACTAAGTACAGTATGTCAAAAATAATATTGATGCCTGTATTGTCCATCAATACAATTACTGGTATATATTGATTCAAGAGTTAAATTTCAGGAGTATTTGGAATTTGGACAGATGTATACATATTCTCCCTACATTAAACTTATTACATAAATTCTGATGAGGACTATCCAATAGAAATGTCCTTATTTATTTTTTTATTTTTACTTTTTGTAGTGTGTACCCTACAGACTAAAGATTCCCCATTCCCATGAATGGAAAATAAGAAATATAACGATTTCACACAATACGGTCTTTAGTCTGCTTTAAGTTTGATTCAGAGAAAATTATTTTGTGTTTGTACCGATCTGCAAAACATTTTGTGAGATTTTCCATGTTATGTAGATTGTCATTCTAAAACAAGAACAAGATTAGAAAAACTTTCAGTATTTATTCAATTTATTGTGATCACTCACAGAGTCATTGCATTATGTAGGAATAGTATGTTTCTAAAATCATTTATAAGGACTAAAATATATCAAGGGTTTCCTTTTTATTACATCAATAATAAAAATAACTACTTACCTGAGCTTTATATAAGTAATCCAATCTAATTAATGAACATTGACAGTTCAGTTAGAAGTTAGAATACCGTACAACTAATTTGAGACGCGTTTGATGGGTCAAGATGAATTTATTTAAGAGTCGCCCAGCAACAGAATTTCTGTTGAGGTCCCAAGAGGGGGGAGAGGGTTTAGATTTGTCAATAATGCTCAACCTTGAAAACATAACTGGTGGATCCATGGACAATTATAAGCACTATGTGGCATTGCACAAATTAATTGTTTCCATGATGTGGTTGAAGATTATTGTGGTTGTGTGTTGAAGTTAAAATATTTCCAATGTTATCTTGGTAGAAAAAAAATAGAATAACCAATTTTTAATTAATCTTGCAGCATATAATGGAATTTAAAATCAAACATTTTACTATGAATAAGAACTAGAAATTCCATTCAAATGTAAAGTTGTAGCCGGATATTAAAAAATTAACATAGTTAAATTGAGCTACTGATTGACCGAGAGATCTTAAATAAATTACAGTACTGATTTTTTAAAATATGCTAACTGTTTCACAAAGCAAAACTAAAAGGGCAACTTATCACAGTTACAGCTTTAACAGAAGAAAATATAATTTTTGAATCTAGCACACTTCAAGAGTGTTACATTCAACTATGCTTAGTATGACTCAACAATTGGCTACAGCTGATCAATATGACATCTACTTATTAAAAAGTCAATGGTTAAACATATGAAAATTATTTGATTCATCGGTCACCATGGAAACACTAAGAGAATCATGATGTTAACAACTCTGCTTATGCTGAAACACAGCTGATTGAAACAGAAAAAAAGTCAAATATTTTTGTGTACTGCTAAGTTTAATGCTTATTTTGTTTTATGAAGATGTCAATGAATAAGAAAATACTTAAAATTATTTAATCATGTTGTTAACACATTCACTGCTAATGATATGTAATACTTTTATAAATGGCTAAAAAACATAAACATTAACATGATCATGTTAATTGAGTGACAATATATCTTTAATTAAATAAATTTTATACTATAAATTGTGGATTAAAATATATTATGTAATTATATACTTTATGTATTATATATCTGCTAATATACTTATGACGCACAAGTGCGTCATTAGCAGTGAACGTGTTAAGTAAACATACTGGTTATTGAATGTCAATGCAGCACACAGTTAGGTATGGATTGTTAAATATGAAGGCAAGTGAGTGAGATTATCTGCAAAGTTTTGCCACAGACTAAAATCAGCTGTTTATTTAGCCAGAAACAATTATCAAAGCCCAATGGTGAGTGACAACGTGGTCTAGAATTGATTCTTCTTAGACTGAACCAGTAACCATCGAATTAAAAGGTAAGAACTTTCTCTTATCATTCCATTACTCAGTCAGTATCTTATAATGTAAAATTACAAAGGTAGAGGCTTGGTAAATTGACATGTAAATCAACTGAATATAAAAAAATAAACACATTTATTGTCAAATACTCACATACAAAATATTTACAACATTCAAACTCTACCTGTATAGATTTTAATTTTGACTGTTGGATTGTGAATCTTTCATTGTTGAGAGTAGTAGAAGTAGTAGTGGCCTGAAAAAAATAATTGATCTATTAAAATTCATATCAAAAGTACTGAGATTATAGTAGGCCTACATATCCTAATAAAGGTCTAGTTATGTATTCAGATTATCACTAGAAGTGTTTATAATAACTGCAAATACATTCTAGTTAAATTTTATATCAACAAATGAAGGTGTTAGGGTAAAAATATATCGGAGCGGCGAGGCTACGCTCTAGCTGAGTGAGTATAGAATAATATATGTAGGTGTGCCAGAACATAGTGGAGCGGGTAGCATAGCTGGTACCTGTGCCGATTTTGCCATTTTACCTCTTTTGCCATTAGGCCTTATCAATTTCTTTACAAAATCAGTAGGCAGTAGGTTTCACCCTTATATTATTTTATATTAGAATTTATATATATATACTAGCTGTACCCGCGGGCTTTGCCCCGCTTAACTTCATAAGTATTCGCATGGCTCAATCACGTCCTGGTTGAAGTTCGTTCGCTACGCTCACTCACCTTCAGGTTGGAAATCGTTCGCTGCGCTCACTTGTTTTCAGGTTAGCTTGTTCGCTACGCTTACTCGCCTCCAGGTTGATGTTCGTTCGCTACGCTCACTCACCTTTTGATTGCAAATTAGCTGTTGTCATAAATTTTAAAAAATCATCCCTTTTATTGTTTATAATACAGTACTTTTATAAAGGTTTTTATGTTTTAATATTTAACATTGGAGAATTTAAACGTTGTTAAGTGCACAGGTGTGCTGCGATTGGGGTTTAATACATTTGGACTTATTCAAAAGTAAAATAGTTTTCTGTGCTGCACTCTGTAGAAACTCTGTGGCACTATTTCAAATCATGGCTAATGCTAATACAGAATGTTGTAATTATTCAAACCTACAAAACAGTTGGTAAAAGTAAACATCTGCTTTTAAATTATATTTATTTGTAAACATTGTAGATCAAAAAGTCTGACATTGGCCCACTTAAAACCCTCTGGGGCAGAGCCCTTTTGATTGATCTGCACCAAACTTCACTCGAACCATCCTTGAAAGATGCTTAATAATGCCTGAAAGTTTCATTACAATCTGTCGAGCGGTTTTGGAGTCCATAACGTATATACATACACACACACACACATACATAGTTCCTCTTTTATAGATATAGATATATATACTAAATTACTGTAATCCAGCTTTACCACTCGCTATCCTTGCCGCTTTAATATGTACACATGTCAAGTGAGACTGTCATCGGGGGAAAAAAACTCGGGGTGGCAGGATATTTGATCATTTAAATACTTAAAAAACACACATATATGTCAGCTACAGAGAGCTGCGATTGGTATCATTCTGTTCACAAATAATGCCAGTAAGTGACTAGGAGCCTTGTTACAGCCTAAAAAAACTACCAACCCTTGTACACAAGAAAGGCCCTTACTTAAAATCCCCACTTGTAGAACTTAATTTTTTATTAGAATTTCCCAATTTCTCTCAAAACGATTTTGAAGGCCTTAAAATAATAACAAATACTTAAGTATGTTTGCATGATTATTGGTTATACAATAGAAGAAATTTAAAAAATTGTAAGTGAAAAAGTGAACTGTGGTTGTAGTTTGCTTGTTTAAGGTACCGGTAGGCCTATATTTTGACCTAACTTGGTAAATTTTACCATTTTTTATAGTCCTTGCGACCCTAACTTGAAGAGGCAGCCCAAGGCCGCACTAGATATACCGCGTGCGGCCTTGGGCTGCCTCAAGTTAGGCCGGGGCCACACTCATCTTATCTCGCTGAATTTTTTCCACGGGCGTTACCCGTGGGTTTGAGAGATACATTACGGTATATGGGGCAGGCCACACTAGAGTAAAAACGTCCGTGAACGCGTTTGTCAGTCTCGCTGGTTTTACCAGCGAGACTGACAAACGGAATTGCACGTGTATTCTCTACTAACATTCCACGGGCGTTGCACGTAAAACTAGTCGCGGGGCATTGCGGCTTATGGGAGTGAACACACTCATCTTATCTCGCTGAATTTTTTCCACGGACGTTTTATACTGTACAGTGAGCGTGGAGGGGAGGGGTGCGGAACACGGACACGGACGATTTTTATTGCCAGTGTGGCATGCTCTATCAGTCTCACTGGTTTGCCCGAAAAACCTATCTCGTAAGACGAGTGTGGCCACGGTCAAGCTGTTTCACGTGCGTCGCACGTGAAAACGGAAAAAACAGTCTCGCTGGTTAAAAACTACAAGTGTGGCCCCGGCCTTAGGGTGGCGAGGACTATAATAAGCTTTTACTTAAAACACACTTTATTACTGTCCCAGTAGCAGCCAACCTAAATACTCCTTAACCTAATGTTATAATAGGGAATTAAGTTATACCTGTTTAAGGAAATATTTCAGAGAAAATCCAATCAGATGAATGGGAATTCGCTTAGTGCGCAGATTTGCTATGGCAGGGTTACTCCATTCTTATTCTGGCTAGGACCTACTACTTTAAATTAGCCAACAAGATCCACCCATTTCGCAACTTCTAACGGAGCCATCCAGTTTTTATTTCGGATAAGACTCTTCCACCTATATTTACCTGGATATTCTTATGAATATAGGCCTATTCATTCATACAGTTTGCGATGCACTTAAGTAATAAGACTATTGTCAAATGTGGCATATAACTTGTAGTTTAGGACTCCAATAATATAGGCCTACTTAAGAAAAATTTTGATTTTAAATATATCTGAGAATTACTTACAGTCCTTCTGTATGATGACACTCTTTTAACTTAAGTTCTTGTTTGAGATCATTCCTTGAGGTTGTCGTAGCAGGGACGGATGCTTCTAGAATACAAATCAAACCATGACTATATTAGGCCTACTATATTGAGATAGGGAGGGGATATAGCTTAAGAGGTATGGTATCGGAGGCACAGTTTTAAACACCTTAAGTAGCTACTTGGCAGACCGAAAGCAGCTTGTGTCATTGAATGGAACAACTCTTTAAGGGTGCAGATTATCCCCCAAGGGGTGGTCGGTGGTCGGACCCCTGTTGTTCAGCATAATGATCAACGATCTGGACCCAAATGGACAAACCTTATTGTTTGCTGAGGATACCACCTTGTTCAATAGGGGAATGAACATTGAGCGATTGAGGGCAGAAGGAGACAACCTGCTGGAAATGGCTAAGGATTGGTTTATAACAAACCGCTTCAAAATCAATGTTGCAAAAACTCAATCCCTTATCTGTACTCTGCCATCGAGGATAGAACAGGACGAGGCTGTAAAGCTATTAGGTTTCTGGATTGACCCTAGATAAGGCTGGAACGTCCACACAGACAAGGTAGACTTGTCAAGAGTCCTCTACCTTCTCAGGAAGCTTAGAGAAGTTATTACTAAAAACTACTTAATTACCATCTACCATTCCTTGTTCCATAACCATAGAATAGTACTCTGGGGCCAATCTCCTTCAGCCCAGGATATACTGTTGCTACAAAATAAAGCCTTGAGAGTCATAACATCTTCCGGCCCAAGAGAACACTGCTGACCCCTTTTTAAAGAATTATGGGTATACCCACCGTTGTTAGCCAGTATGTCCTGAACAGCCTATTGCTGTAAAAAGAGAACCTGACCAGCTTTAATTATTAGCAGAAGTAGCCACCACAACCATAGAACACGTAGAGCTTATGACTTGGACATGCCTCGCTGCCGTCTAAGTCTAACGCAAAAGAGCTACCTACCCGCACTCTGCTATAAAGATTTTCAACACCCTGCCTGAAAGAGTCAGAAACTTAGACCTGAAAGCTTTTCAATCCACAGTGAGCATTTCTCTCTTGCAAAGGCCCCTCTATAGTGTGCAAGAGTTGGTAGAGGAACCTCTCATGCACGGATGAAATTTCTGCCACAGCCTTGGTATTTATGTGTTGTAAATATATGTTTTATTGTATAAAGTATTATAAAAATTGACGCTATCAATCTGTAACCACGGACAAAGATAAAAAAGATAAAGACAAGTTTCAAGGACTATATGGTACGTATTTAAACCAATACAAAGTTTGTCCAAAAATTAAGGTTTCCAACGCTCCCATTGGAGCCAGGGAGAAGGTACTCCTACTATGATTAGATTTGAACGTACCTCGTTCAAATCTTAGACCTGTCCCATGTTCTTTATATCATCTACTCCCCCACAACAGTTCTAGCCAGATCCAAATATATGAACCAGTTAGTCTTTTCACAGTAGCCAAAAACGATGTGAAGGACAATCAACGTCCTACCAGTCTGAATTAAATTTTGTGATTAGATTTCTATGGTCTAAGGCGTCAACTGCCATTGAGGTCCATTGGCAGTTTATGGACATGAATGAAGTAGATACAGGGTCGTATTTAGAATCTACGAGGCCCCAGACGGCTCTCACTAGAGAGACTCTTCTCCATATTCCTATTCTTCGACAGGTTGAAACTTAAGGGTTTAGAAATACATGTGGTATTGTTTCAACTTGATGAATTTACCTTTTGCTTCCAACAATTCGATCGACAAAAAGACCTAGAGAGGATACTACTGTTCGTCACCTCTGATTGCGGCGTGGCAAAATAGTGAAGATCTTATGCGGTCGTGCATATTTCATCAACATCTCCCGCAATCGCGCCTAAAGAGGTCCGCCCCCGGCAACCGCCGTTAGGGAAATGAGTAGATATGGTGTACAATGTTTCTATTAGGCCTAGACTATCAAGAATTGATAGTCCCAGCAGTCTAAACACACTGATTAGCAAGCAATGTCAACTACATACCGTCATGATAAAAACAGGTGAACATCTGATGCCGGCCTGGTTGTATAAATTTATAAGCTTTTGGCTATTTACCCTCTTGTAATTTTCGGCTTCTACGATGAAACTAATCGTGCTTAGGCATTGGGTTGGAAATGGATACAGTAGAGTCCTGCAAACTCAGCGTAATGTGGACTGAGAGGGTGCCGAGTTTGGAAAAGTGCCGGTTTATCGGGAACTGCGGTTAAAAATAAGAACAATACAACTTTTAAACTTTTCAACTGCCTTTTTTATTTATATTTATATTTCAAGTCAGTATTAAGTCACCAGATAGGGCTTAAAACAAATCCTTGGTGCCTTAGGAAATAAACAAATGTATTACTGTACCCATACATATTTAACAAAAAATATCTCTAACTTTCTGAGCTATGTGATGGCCAAGTTATCCAGACTGCCGGGTTATCGAGTGTCGAGTTTGCGGGACTCTACTGTATCTAGAATAGGCTAGTAAGGGATGAAGTAATCAATGAAGTGTTGGTTTTAATTTTGAACTAGCTTTCTTGGCCACTACAGGAGCACGATGGAGACTATAATTTACAGACAGCCTACGAATGAATAAAATATAAGTGAGGGGTGTGAGAGATGCATTGTGTGGCTTTGTTGACTACTGATAAAAAGCTGTATCTGACTTTTCTCAGTTTTTAATTTTAGATCTGAAAACCTGATTACAGATTTCTACAGTGATAAGGAAATAAGCTAATCCCAAAACAGATATTAGGACTCCTAGCACAAACGTCAACCATGCAGCTTACTCAATTAAAGTCTACTTCATAATAAAAGTCTACGCCTAAATAAAATATAGACAAACTGACTTTTAAAGAAGTTATATAAATTAACTACCTGCAGTAAACATTTTCTCTGAGAACTTGTAGCCGGCCCAGTTTAGATATTCTAAGATCAGCTGATTTACAAGACTTATGTTGGCAGGAGGTTGAGGCTTATCTGTGTCAATCAGCTGCTGTTTATCCATACCTAGAGCGTTCATCAGCTGATTCATCAAGTCTGCCTTGATTCTTCCATATTGACCATTATCTCGAAGTGTAGTTTTTAAAACTGTTGAGATAGAAGTTAATGTTAGTTTTAATTAACTTAATACATTTGATAAAAATTTGTGGAAGAGGCTCAATGCAGGCTGCACTTTACTTTATGTCCTACACTCATTCGAATGAAAATATCGATTATTCGATTGTTTCATTCGATATAGGCCTATCGTTTGGTTATTTAGGTTAGGTTAACCTTACTTAACTAACCGAACGAGATAACTTATCGAATAATCGATATATCGATCTATATTTTCATTGGAATGAGTGTAGGACGTAAAGTAAAGTGCAGCTATTTTTATGAGTTTCACTTCAAACCAAGACTTTTGTTACCGTTTTGCTTATCTTTACTGAGTTTTTTTTAAGGAAAGTGAACAGGATATGAATGAAAGGGGTAATTATATCGACCTCCGGACCTCACGCGAAATTAAAAATTTTTTTTTCCAAAATGTTCGAAATTTCACGCTGATTTCAAAAACGATTGTCGTTTTTTTCGGAAACGTCCCGTTTTCCCGGAAAATGGGAAAAACGGGAAAAATATTTTTTTGCTCAAAACCCATGTTGTGGGTACTCAAATTGTGCGGAATTTCCTCCTGAACAAGAATATGTAAATTTTATTACGATCGGACCACTATTAAGTAAAATATCACCGAAAAACGGGAAAGCGGGGAAATTTTTCTTTGCTCAAAACCCATGTTGTAGGTACTCAAATTGTGCGGAATTTCATCCTGAAAAAGAATATGTAGTTTGTATTACGATTGCTTTTAAGTAAAACATCACCGGACAGGTTACCCAACCTAACATAACCTAACTTAGGTTTAGATTAGGTTAGGTTAGGATAGGTTAGTTTAGGTTAAGTTAGGTTAGGTTAGGTTGGTTTAGGTTAGGTTGAGTTTCGTTAGGTTAGGTTAAGTTTGGTTAGGTTAGGTTAAGTTAAGTTAGGTTAGGTTAGGTTGGTTTAGGTTAGGTTGAGTTTCGTTAGGTTAGGTTAAGTTTGGTTAGGTTAGGTTAAGTTAGGTTAGGTTAGGTAAGTTTAGGTTAGGTTAGTTTAATTAGGTTAAGTTTGGTTAGGTTAGGTTAGGTTAGGTTAAGTTAAGTTAGGTTAGGTTGGTTTAGGTTAGGTTGAGTTTCGTTAGGTTAGGTAAGGTTAAGTTTGGTTAGGTTAGTTTGGTTAGGTTAGGTTAGTTTCGGTTAGTTTACTTACAATACTCTTGATAAACTAAACTAACCTAACCTAACCAAACTTAACCTAACCTAACCTAATAAAACTCAACCTAACCTAACCTAAACTAAGCTAACCTAACATAACCTAACCTAACCAAACTTAACCTAACCTAACGAAACTCAACCTAACCTAAACCAACCTAACCTAACCTAACTTAACCTAACCTAACCTATCCTAACCTAACCTAACCTAATCTAAACAGGATTAGATTTGAAGGTTAACAAAACTCAACCTAACTTAACCTAACCTAAACTAACCTAACCTAACTTAACCTAACCAAACTTAACCTAACCTAACGAAACTCAACCTAACCTAAACCAACCTAACCTAACCAAACTTAACCTAACCTAACGAAACTCAACCTAACCTAAACCAACCTAACCTAACCAAACTTAACCTAACCTAACCTAACCAAACTCAACCTAACCTAAACCAACCTAACCTAACCTAATCTAAACCTAAATTAGGTTATGTTAGGTTAGGTAACCTGTCCGGTGATGTTTTACTTAAAAATACTTACTTACTTTAATTATGAAATTCCGCACAATTTGAGTACCTACAACATGGGTTTTGAGCAAAGAAAAATTTCCCCGCTTTCCCGTTTTTCGGTGATATTTTACTTAATGGTCCGATCGTAATAAAATTTACATATTCTTGTTCAGGAGGAAATTCCGCACAATTTGAGTACCCACAACATGGGTTTTGAGCAAAAAAATATTTTTCCCGTTTTTCCCATTTTCCGGGAAAACGGGACGTTTCCGAAAAAAAACGACAATCGTTTTTGAAATCAGCGTGAAATTTCGAACATTTTGGAAAAAAAAATTTTTAATTTCGCGTGAGGTCCGGAGGTCGATATAATTACCATGAAAGGTAGTAATAAAAGATGTGTTTTAAAAATAGACAAAATATTGAGTAACCGGTAGCCTATATCAATAGATAATCCCTGTGGCTAAAAGGGTAACTTACTTAACCACCAAGTAATATTCTTTGGGGATTACTTGGGCTGTCAGTCATTGTTTGGGTACTAAGGTAGGCCTAGTAATTGCATTATCTAGTCAAGGCGTGCTCATAACCAAAGGATTAACTTATATAACTTACCTATATGTTAAAACTTTGCACTACTTAAAAAACTTACTTCTAGTTCTAAGTTAGACTATCGTCACCAAAAACTAGTCCTGGTTAGTTACTAATTACTGGTTAATGACTAGTAGAGGCCACCAACCTCTTTTTTAAAAACAAAAAAAACATATTGAAGATTTAAAAAATTAAATAAACTGTGACCATTAAAATATCCCTTGTTGTGTCAGATGACTACAGGTTTCGAGATGACGGTCACATCATCAGGTAAATTGTTTTTTACTATGTTCAGGCAAACAATATTTTTGGTAGGCCTACCTGAAGTTTTATGACTGCCTATGAAGTTAAGAACCTTAAAATTAATATTTACTAGGCCCACGCCAATATGAAGATGAAAATTTTTAGTTTAAGTATGTTAAACTTACTCTCCATTAATTCCTCCTCGGATACCATTCTCTTGCTCCAGTAAAATAATAATACCAAGAAAACTAAAATGGAAGTAGGCTTAAAAGATTATTTCAAACTAGAAGAACTAGCAACTAGCAACTAGAGAGAGGAAGAGAAGAGGTTATGTTTGTTTTTGTTTTGGTTTGTTTGAATTTGACGTTTAAGCGTTTAAGGTTCTTCTTTTCTCTCTTTCTTCTTCTTGTTTGCCGTGACAGGCTTGAATAAATGGCATGTAGCTTGCCGGTGGAAGTTTGGTCCAGGGTATACCTGAATCATTGATTTTTGTTGGTAGTCCTTCTATAGTGAAAGAAACTTGTTTACAGTCTTAGATTAAACATTCCCCATATGACTCAGCTCTCTAATGTCAATGAATTACATGAACAGTTTTGGGAGGGTATGAATGTATGTATGAAAATGAACTCTGATGATATAGGCATAGATAAAACATGGTTCATTTTCATACTATTGGATATAAAAAAAGAGTGGAAAAAAGAGTTTGGATATTTAAAAGTGAGTCGGTGGCTCAGTTGGTAGCGTCGCGGACTTCGGGACCAAGGCAGCGATGTCGTGGGTTCGGATCCTGGTCACTGCCGATAACATTTTATCAGTACAGTTCGCCTTTGTACTGTACCGGCTCACTCCTTGATTTGCTGTAAACGATCCACGCACCGGCGCTTAGTCTATGGACGGGCAAATGCAAGGTTAAAAGAGGCCAACAACCTCTTTAAAAAAAAAAACAAAAAAAAACATATATTGTAGATTTAAAAAAATAAATAAACTGTGAACATTACAATGTCCCTTGTTGTGTCAGATGACTACAGGTTTCGAGATGACGGTCACATCATCAGGTAAATCCTCGTTAAAACGATTCGTTAAATACACTTTTCCCGAACCAAGACAAAACACGTCTCGGTGCGTGCACACTTAGTCTACGGAGCCTACGTCGGGCCGACTGCGACCATCAATATATAATAACTCCCACCGCGTAAGCGTGCACTAAAAATAGTATTAAGCATACACAAGGACAAACAACCTTGCACGGCCCCTTTAACTTCAGGACGCGGCCTGGTAGAATTGGCATCGTCACAAGTAGGGTTGTTTAGTGCCAGACGTCGCATAAGATAACACGGTATCCAGGTGACACCAGCTCATTAATTCGCGTATTATTAATTTAAATTTATGAAAATAAATGTATTAAAAGATTGAAAATGAAACATTGAATTGAAAACCAAAACGATATAAATTGAAACTCTATTCCTGTGAAAGTGGAGTCAATTTGCGTAGCAGTAACCAAGTTTTCGTATTCTTAACAAATACATAAAATAATATGGTTGCTTCCAAACAAAACACCGGTTAGAGCACTACTTGCGACGTTGCCACTTCGAAGGCCGCGGCCTGGAGGTAAAGGTGGCCGTCCGAACAACTACAAGTAGGTTAAGAATTCCGTTGTCTGCTTGCAATATTGAGTGGATCAAGCATATTAATCCAATGCCGGTAATTGTGAGAAATGTAACCACACATCAGGTTCACGGTTCACGTAAATGGGATGTCCACTTCCAGTATCTATAGTAAATGGTATCTTTGTTTCTAAAAAATATAATTTCCATTTGCAGTGTCTAAAGCCAATGGTGCTTAGGCCTGATTGGTCATTTCCTTTGTAATTAATTATGCTCAACGGTATTAATCCGACTATCTTATCTTTATGAAAAATGTCTTAAAGTTTTAATTCACAAATACAAAGCCCTCTGAAAACCGATTTTCACAATTTTAGATTTTTACAATAAGTATAATTTAGATAAAACATTTAGTTTATGAATTTACCTACGTATTATCACAGACAAATAGAATAAATATAGACTGTCAAAGGAAGCTTTCGGCACCCACCGCTAGGAGTGCCGTGTAGTTACGGCACACACCCCGGCACACACCGCTGCAGGCAAGGAGCGCAGGAGCCGTATGCTACCAGTAGGAGCAGACGCTGCAGCGGTGTGCGCTGTAGTACACGACACTCCTAGCGGTGGGCGCCGGAACATATGCTAACCGCAGCACTGCTGCCAGTCTATATTCATTCTATTTGTCTATGGTATTATTTACCTACATGGTATAGCTTTTGTATACAATCTGTAAAGAAACTCTATAGTACAGATTGTATCTGTAAGTACATGGCCACCTTTAACTACAGACCGCGGGCTGGTAGAATTGGCAACGTCGCAAGTGGTGTTCTTTAGTGACAGACGTCCCATAAGATAACATGGCAGACAGGTACATCAGCTCATTAATTCACACTTTATTGATTTAAATTTAAATTTATGAACGTAAATTTATAAAAATATTGAAAATAAAACATAAAGAATTAAAAACAGAAACATGAATTAAAAATCTATATCTGTACATTTTAAGCGGAGTCATTATTGTCATAGTCCAGTAACTAATCTTTTATAAATACACAAATATCATTAGCTGCTTCCAAACAAAACAGCTGTTACAACACCACTTGCGACGCTGCCACTTCGAAGGCCGCAGCAGCTGGAGTTAAAGGCGGCCGTGGTAATTATGTCACACCTAAATATGCATATTGTACAAGAATCAAACTACGGACATAATAAATATTATATATTCAATATGTAAATTTGGAAAAAAATTATTCATACCTTAAATGTATACAGGGTGTTTACAAATTGTCTGGACTCACTACAACAGCAAACAAACGGTATCAGGACTGTGACACATACTTTCTCCTATACTGTAAACTTGTCAACAACCTTTATCGTGGGTAAGCGGTGGGAGTAAATATTATCTTTTATAGTTAAAAATCACCAAAGTTGCAATAACATTTGAACCGTAATTGTTACAGCAATGGGGTTTTTAAATTTTTTTTAATTATAAAGGATCATAACATAATAATTTCGATTAAAACCAGCATTTTTTAAAAATCTGATTTTTCTTAATTTATAAATTCGTTAATTAGGAACTAAACCATAAATTCTTCTTTTAATGCACTTGTTTTAATATGCAAGCAAACTAAGTATAAAATATGTTGGTAAACAATATTTTGATTCATCATTGGAAATATGTGTTTTGCGATTTGTCAGGTAAATACCTAATTGATCTAGTTCATGGGCAACCTACTGCTGTTTAGACAAGTTTCATGAAGCAGGCCCGTAACTAGGACCTCAGGGGCCCCGGGGCAAGTATCACATTCTAGGCTCCTAAGGCGATCCGGGGGCACTTTTTTACTTGTTACAAACAAAGCCCTGGTGTGCGGAGAGCACCTGTTACAGTAACTATATTACACAGAACAGTATATGCAAACAAATTGTAACCCATCTACATGGACATCGTTAATGCTGGATTTGTATTCATGTATTTGTCGAAAATATACCTAGCTAACGAAGTTATGAGAGTTTGGCTAGGTATGTAGTTGTAAAACTTGTTGTGTCGCACAACAGCCTACAAATGACTATGACCACAATATTTAGCTTACAAAACTAGACAAGTTCTAACTAATTAGATTAATGCCTACTAATATTTAGAATGTAAATTCAATAATCCATTCCGATGTTTTACACGATATATAGTAATTTTTACCATACTGTATATCGCTTTCTGTTCTATACCTTACACTCACAGCACTATTAATCTTCCGATCGCCATCTACCCTGCAGTTCTCTTCAGTTGTGAGCAAATTACCTTTTTCACAAGGAACAATCGACATTCCATCAGATAACCGGTAAATCATGTCCGCGTTTTATCGATTAAAAAACCGATAGCGGATAATCGAATTATAATCGAGTGTAACCACTTGATGTCAACGATAAGTTGTTAGGTTGGTAGGCGTGGCAGCGGATCAGCTGGTGTTCATGATCAGCTGTGAGATAAACAGCATCGCGCGCCATTATTCCCGCGATTCCTGTTATCCGGCGGTGTTTGTTTTTATAATGTCTTATTACCGGATGGTTCGCGATAATCTGTTTAATGTCATAATTTTACTCCACAGCCTCTATTCACTCTGCTTTCTCCGCGGCCATTTTGGAAATTGTAACGGCGGTTAAATTGTTCGGGTTATGTGTTTGGAATTTTGACCAAGTTTTGGAATAGGTCGAAGTCTTTATTCCATTAAGTTTAGTAGGTAATGAAATGAAAAATTACCTTATTATATAATCAAAGTTAGGAGTAGAAAGTTCTCCCAACCTCTTCTATTTTTATTGCTCTTTCTAGGCTCTTTTCAGTATTGAGATTTGAATTGAATCTGATTTTGAATAATTAAAATCGGCATGCTGTTTTATGAAAATGATAGTTTCCCATTTTTCAATAACTCAGTTTATACAGCATTATCTAACATCAATGAATATAGTGTAGCATACTTAATTGTAGGCCTACTTATAGTGATGTTATATCTACATAAACTAATACACCACTACAAGAAAGAAAAATATAATGGGAACGTTATTTTACTGCCAAAGAATAATTTACTTATTGTAATTTGTAAAATTAGATCCTGTCTTGGAACTTGTATTATACTTTTTTTACTTTGTACTATATTTATTTTCATAGCTGTATGCAATGTGTAATCCTGATATCTGTAATCATTGACAATATTTATTTATTGACTTATTTTATAATTTTACGATTTTACAATATGATTAACGAAGTATAGAGCTGCTAATACTAGGCAAGATAAGATAAGAATAAGATACGACTGCAAGTATTTCTTGCTAAATAATCAATAAAAATGTCTTATTCTTTATTATAACTGATCTTACAATTTTCTCGTAGAAACAGAAACCAAACCATTATTTAACAATCTATCATCTACCAAAACAAAGCCTCAACTAACTCCTGTAGTTGAACAAATAAGTTGTATTAGACGACAACCACTTATCAATTATGGTTATGATTTAACTTTGCAAGAAGTAGCGGTGTAAATTAAATAGTAAAGTCCAAAACATGAACTAAGTATAAATCTTAAGCGAATACTAAATCTTATGAACGAATATTAAAATCTTAAGCTCCTTAACCCTGAGATTAAATTTCACTAAGTTTGAATTTAATTCAAACATTCCCTTGATATTGCGTATACTAGGTCTCACTGA